GGCCCGGCTTGTCCTCACCTTTGTGGAAGTAGTCATGGACATAGAGCTCCATGTCCTCAGCCAACTGCTGCCACAGCACCAGGTAGTAGGTGATGTTGCCGTTGCGTTGCGTAGGCGGCTTCCAACGCACCACGATGTGAGAGGAGGAGTTGGACATGGAGATGACGTCCCGGGGTACTGTTGGGGCTGGGAGGACAGGGAGGTGTCAGTTTGTCTTTGTGGGGGTCACCACGGGTATCCCCAGCCCCCTCCCCAGCCCCTTACCCGCCGGCATGGTGCGGATGTAGACCACCTCGCTCTGCGCCCCGTAGTTGCGTCCTTCCTCAGCGGTGGTGAGGGTGATGGCACGGACGAAGATGGCGTATTGGGTCCAAGGACGGAGGTTGAGCAGGGCCACCCCCGGCGCTTGCTCACTGCTGAGTGGTGGCTCCACGTCCAGCACGTTCCAGCTCTGAGCCCCACAGGCGTCCTGCCCCACGTACTCTGAGACGTTCTGGAAGGGTCTGCCCCACACCAGGCATCAGGGAGGGTCCAGGGACACCATGGGCTGGGGGTCCCAAGCTCTCCATGATGGGGACAAGTTGGAGACGGTGACCACTTACGACTCCTTGTAGTAGACAATGAAGCTGAGGAGGTCCCGGTACTCAGGGGGTCGGTACCGCTCCCACTTGAGGAAGATGCGGTCGGACTCGGTGATGTTGGAGATGAAGCGCAAGGTCTGGGTCTTGCCTGCAGAGAGGATCCAGGGTTCAGACAAGGGGTTGTGGCGTTGCTGGGTGTCCCCATCCCCGTACTCACAGGACGCCCGGTCCCCGTTGGTGCGGGGGTTGATCTCCGCCTTGTTCTGCCGCCCCTTGGTGCCTGTCACCTCCTCCATGCGGTAGATCTCATCCAGGCACAGCTTGGGGTTGAAGGCAAAGTACATCTTGCCCACGGGGATGGAGAGGACGTGGTGGCTCCAGTCCCAGAGCTGTTGCAGGTTCTGGTTGTCCAGGACGTACAGGGTGTAATTCCTGGAGGAGGAGACATGGATGGAGGTGGTGGGCATGGGCACCTCCAAAGCCACATGTCCCCCTCAAAGCCATGTGTGACCCCCAAAGTTACACGTCCCCACCAAAGCCACATGTCCCCCTTAAAGCCATATGTGACCCCTAAAGCCACCTGTCCCTACCCAACCCACACCCCATCCTCACCCATCCACCATGGAGTCACCACGGATCAGCTTGAGGTTCTTGAAGAAGGACAAGGAGACAAGGGCAAAGGAGTGTTTGATCTTCAAGAAGCCTGTGATGGTCTCGATGAGCCCCAGGCTGCTCTGCAGCTCCGAGGCCAAGTTATCTGGGGACAACCCATGGGTGTGAGCTCGGGGAGGGGGATATCTCCCCATTAATTCACCCTGTGAGGGAAAAGACCCCCATCTTTCCCCACCCTGCACCAGCTCTCCCACCCTGGGTGGGTTACAAAGGGCTGGATCCAGCACTCACAGCCTCGACGGATGTTGACGATGAGGTTCCCCTCAACGAGGGTGCAGCCCCCCAGCTCCTGCGCCGCCCGCGTCGAGTCGATGGTCTTGGTGCCCACCTTGCACTCTTTGGGGCACAGCCCCTCGCACTTGTGGCAGAAGATGCTGCAGGCAGGAGGATGAGGACAGGAGATGAGCTCAGACACCATGCCACCATGGTGCCCACACCAGGGGGACACTGAGGACCCCCATACCTGCTGTCATTCCTGGTGTAGCCTGAGGGACACTCGGAGAGGCATTGCTGCTGGTGGATGACGAACTTGGAGGCATCACGAGGGTTGTCGGAGACCTTGCGGAGGCTGGCGCAGTACTCGGCGGTGACGCAGCGCCAGCCCTCATACTGGTAGGTGCGGGGTGGGCAGGAGGGCAGGCAGTGCCCGTTGAAGTGGAAGTGGCGACAGGCGACGCAAGCGCGGTTATCGCGGGGTCGCCCACAACCCCCCAAACATTCGGGGTGGCAACACTCTCCCATCGCCGTACACGCCGAGCCCACGCCGCATGGGCACACTGCAGGGACAGAGCCGGTGCCGTGGGGGGATGAGAATCCTCTGGGAGCAGATCAGGATGGGAAGGGGGAGAGGGAAGAGATGGGAAGGGCTGGGTGGGGGCTGCTGACACCCTCTGGTTCTGCAGGACAAGAGGAGAGGGGTGGAGGCAGGGATGGCTGGAGGGAGGGATGCAGGAAAGGAGAGAGGGATAGAGGGAGGGATGCAGGGATGCAAGAATGGATGGAGGGATGAAGCAGTGGGGGGATATGAGGATGCAGGAATGGAGGGAGGGATGCAGGGATGGAGAGAGGGGAGGGGGTGGCTGGATAGATGGAGGGATGCAGGGATGGAGGGATACAGGAAAGGAGAGAGGGATGGAGAGAGGGATGCAAGAATGGATGGAGGAATGAAGTGATGGAGGAATATGAGGATGCAGGAATGGACAGAGGGATGGAGAGAGAGATGGAGAGAGGGATGCAGGGATAAAGTGATGGAGGGATGCAGGGATGGATGGAGAAAGGGATGCAGGGACAGAGAGAGGGATGGGGAGAGGGGTGGCTGTATAGATGGAGGGATGGAGGGATACAGGAAAGGAGAGAGGGATGGATGGAGGGATGTAGGGATGCAAGAATGGATGAAGGGATGAAGCAATTGAGGGATGCAAGGATGCAGGAATGGATGGATGGAGGGAGGGGTGGAGGGGTGTCTGGATAGATGGAGGGATGCAGGGACAGAGAGAGGGATGGAGAGAGGGATGCAGGGATGTGAGGATTCAGGAATGGATGGATGAAGGGATGCAGGGATGGATGGAGGCTGCAGGGATGCAGGAGTGGAGGGATGCAGGGATGGATGGTGAGATGAAGAAATGGAAGGAAGGATGGAAGGATGCAGGGATGGAAGGAAGGAAGGAAGGATGGAGAGATGGATGGATGAGGGGATGAATGGAGAGGAGGAAGGCTGGAGAGATGCAAGGACAGATGGCGGGATGCAGGGATGGATGAATGAAGGGATGAATGGAATGATGGATGGAAGAATGGAGAGGGGGAAGGATAGAGGGATGCAGGGATGGGTGCTGGGATGCAGGGATGGGTGCTGGGATGCAGGGATGGCCAAATGGCTAGCAGAGGGATGGCCAGGTGGGTTGCTGAGTGTGACCAGCTGGATGGGTGGACGAAGGGCTGCACAGACAGACAGCAGGACAGACGGATGGGTGGGATGAGGCTCAGCCTATGCTCAGCCCCAGCTGCCCAGTGCAGCCGGTGCCGGAGCAGCAGCCGAGGTTACGGTCGCGATAAGGATCGTGTTTATAGTTGATATTTCATTACCAACTCTCCTGTTTGCAGCAAACAAGCCCGGGAGGGGCCCGTATTTACCTCACCGCTGGGAATACATGGCAGTGGGGACCTGGCCTCTCCGAGGATGATACAGCACGGATCCGGTTACTCCCACCACGCTGCCAGCGCGGCACAGCACCGACAGCCACACGCCAGAGCCTGTCATCCCCTTGCAGCTCCACCAGCCTTCCCCAGTGCCCTCCCAGTTTACCCCACAACCACCACGGTGCAAACCGGCACCATCCCAGTGAAGCACCCGGCACGATGGATCCCTGCACCATCGGCACCCACCTTTCTGGCAGTAACTGGATGTCCAGCAGCGATAATCCAGCTGCCCGTTGACACTGGTCTGAGCACATGGTTTCTCCACGTCCAAGATGCCTGGGCAGACATCAGCACATTCTTCAGCTAATTTATTGCCGATGATGTAGGTGTTGTCCACGGCGTCAGGCAGCAGAAGTCCCCAGTCGATGGTGGAGAGGTGACAAAGCTCCTGGTTACGTTCGATCCGGATGGAACCACGCAGGACGTGGCTCAAACTGTGAAGCCCCACATCCCGTAGATGAGGCATCTCGAAGATGACCAAGGCGTAGCTGAAGAAGAGGTTGGTGCCACGGATGACGGAGAGGTTGGGGAAGAGATCTCGTAGGCTCTCCAGCCCATAGACACGGAACAGGAGGAGATATTCAGTGATCATGAGCAGGCGAGGGAAGCTGAGCCCTCGAAAATCCTCAGCGCCCGTGGTGAACATCAGGAGGATCTGCAGGTTGCCCTCAATGATGGAGCAGTTCTCCAGCTTCTGGAGCTGGGAGACGTCATTACGGATGTCCATGCTGCCGCAGACTGAGGTGGCAAGAAGGGGACACCATGGGTCAACTGCCCTTCACCCCATAACCACCCAGAGATCCCCCCACGCTGCGCCGATCGCCAGGGCCTCAGGGCTGCTCAGGCTGGGGTTTGATGTCCCGGCGCTGCCTGTCACACGTGGCCACAATGGGTTTGGGTGATCAGGGAGACGCGAGCGGTTCTGACAAGCGGCCAACGCGCCGCGGTTCTCCAGGGCACGACGTGTCTGTCAGCGCAGCGAGCGGTGATGCTAACGAGGTCTGGCTGCCTGGGCAGCTGGCTCAACCAGTGTCAGCCCCAGGACCACGTCCCAGCCCCACTGCCCACCTCAGGGGGGAGGGTCTGGATGGGGGTGCAGGTGCTTTACCCCCTCCCCAAGCTGTGGGACAGCTGTGGGGGGCTCATGGCATCTTCCCCCCATGGGTGTGTGGCTCCCAGCAGCTCCCACCAGGTCATTCCCATTAATTCATAAAGTCACAGAATCCCAGACTGGTTTGGGCTGGAAGGGACCTTAAAGCTCATCCAGTCCCAACCCCGCTGCCAGCAGCAGGGACACCTTCCACTAGACCAGGTTGCTCAAAGCCTCATCCAGCCTGGCTGAGAAAGGGGGCCAGCCACAGCTTCTCTGGGCAACCTGGGACACTGTCTCACCACCCTCACAGTGCCCCATGCGGCTATGGGGGCTATGGTGGGGCTACCACGGGCACCCACATGTCATGGCACTGGTGGTGGGTTTGCCATCCTGGGGCTTGCCCCTGACAGGGAGTGGGAGCATCAGGAGCAGGATGGGGTTGAGCATCTCCTGCTTCCCGGTCTTGGTGGGGATGTAAGAGCCAGGATGAGCCAACAGCTTCTCACCGACACCATCCCCAGCCTGAAGCCTGACGTGCAGCGATGGTGGAAAGAAGCTGCTGAGATCCCAGCAAGGGATTTACTGTAAACACCCGGAGCAAACACTCATCCAGCTTGGCCTGTACCCTAAACACTGG